TATTTTTTGACACTCTAGTGCTTAATTGATTTTATTGCACATACCATGTTTGAGCCTCCTCTGGCACTGTTTGCTCTGAGATTTGTTCCCCCTTTTAAAGACCCAGAGTGCCTAACAAATCCCCTAGACTTCAGCTGATACATTAAGCCCTGGCAATGTTACATCTTGCTACTAAAAAAACTCAGTTTATTTGTGTTTTTGGGCAGAGACGCTGGTCAAGCTGGAGAAACTAGATGCTTATCAAATACAATTTACCAATGAATCCTGGGATGTCACAGTAATTAAAGGAATAAAAGCTATGTGAAAGATCATACTGTGAGATCTGGGCTCAACATGTGTACATCTATACACTGCAAAAGTTTCTTCACATGTCAGTCAAACATGTGGACAGTGAGCATAGAATGATCCTGATGCTGTAGATTTCTGCTCCAAATAAAGAAGCCAGCCAGACAGCTCACAATCATCTCTCTAGTCAAAATCTGTATGATACCAGAGTCCCGGAGGCAGTTCATGTCATTCTGTCAACTCCTGCGACATCGCTGAAACCAGTTGTATTGGCTCTTGCCTTTCCATTGGACTATTTCAGTGACATGGAGAGGGGGGATTTGCTGGTTGGGTAACAGCCTATCCTCCATATTATTTTACCCAGGCTTCGTGCCCTGGAGAGGACACTTCAGCTTTGCGTAAGCATCAAAACACTAGACTCTGTTCCAAGTCCTCCATACAGAGCATGTTACCATAGTCTCTCGAGACGGAAGGATGCCTATGAGATGATACCTTACCTGCCTTGTGTCAAGGGATAGTGCCAAAAATCAGAGATATAGTCTGCATTTCTCCAATTCCTTTCTAATTCCCTCTTATTTTCTTTTGGCCAGTCAGACTCAAGGAAGGAGATAAGACAAGAGTCTTCAGTACTCATACCAGTACGGGCTTGCTCTTCCTTCCTTCCTTCTACCTACGGAATATAGAAACCAAACCAACATTCATGTTCTAGGCTTAAATCCAAATCATTAATAATTTCTGTCTGTCTTTCTGTCCGCCCGTCCATCTGTCTGTCTGTCCGTCCATCCGTCCGTCAATCTATCTAATGGGTATTTACATCTTGTGGGGAGACTTTTTGTTAGGTGACTGTCAGGGGCAGCAAAGAATAGCACTGAAGTAAGCATGGTGTAACCATATTAAACATCATTAGATTAGAAGAGATGCAAACAAATTCTTGCAAAGATGATCAGGGGTCACAGATTTATTGTTTGATCCAAAATTAACTCACCCCATTTCTTGCAGTTTCCCAGAAAGGAAAAAGAAGCAAAACAAAAACAAAAAACACCAGAACTCAAATAGTTAATGCTACCAAAGGAAGACAGAAACCAAACTGACATTCATATTCTAGGCTTAAATCCAAATCACTAATGATTCCAGAAGTTCTTAAAATGGAAGTAAATTATATAATGGATTGTGAGCTGTTTGTTCTTGCACCCTCCTTCTGAAGCATCTGGTGCTTGCCACCCTTTGAGAAACAGGATATATGGGTAAATAGAACAATTCACTGATTTTGTCTGGCTGCTTCTACACACCTACTGTTAATATAAATGGAAAGGAACAAAATGTCTCCTGTGGCAGAAACGTATAGAATATTTTGATATTTTACATCGCCTCCAGACATGACTCAGTCAAAGCTTCTTCTATGTATATAAAAGTGGCAGCAGATAAAGCAGATTATGAAACTAAACAAAAACTGCCCCCTCTGGCCCTCAATCAATCCAAGACAAATGGAGCAAATGTTGATGAGGAGCTATGAAGGCACTATTATGCCTGTGATATTAAACATTCATGTTAATTGTTTGCCAAGCAATTAGAAAAGAAATCCCAAACTACCTGTTTGGAATTACAGTATTTGTGAAGGAAATGTGAAAAGGGCACAACAGTTCATCAGAATATATTTCTCCACCGATTCAAGAAACAGACAACTGGGTTATGACATCATTTCCTTTGACTGAGTGGAAAGCAGTCGTAGGTGAAAACATCTACACAAGGACATTTACCAACCATAAGGCAGTGAAGGTTTTAAGATTTTTCTTCCGTGCAAGAACACACTTCCTCCTTTCTCTTCTCTTTTAACTGGTGGTTTAACTAAGTGGTTGTTGACCCAAAATTGGGTAGAAATAATCCTTTCTGTGGGAGTGACTTATCCATCAGTGCTCCAGGGGTCTTAAATTCAATCATTCTACATTGTCTTGGTGACTGTGGAAGAATAATGAAAGCGGGAGAGTTTTTCATTTGAGGAGGGAAATGGTTTGCTGCAGGCAAAAGAACCTATTCAGTCCTTTCCAAAGGAGCAAATAAACATGGAGATGTTCACTCCAGCACTTGAAGGTGGGCGCACACAATGAACAAGAAAAGTAAAGTTGAAAAAGGGGGGAAGAAAAACCTCTTGAAGCTGAGGGACACAGTTGTACGCAAGCCCTTTTCTTCTTCCTTCCCCATTTTTAATGGCCAAATGACCATTTATGAGGTGAGTGCTACTTACTTACTACCCACGCTCCCTCCCTAAGTCACAATTTTGGCAAAGCTATTTTCAGGAGACATAAGCTGACAGCACCATAAACAATTGCAAATAGCTAGCCAACCTTAATATAGTTTCACACCAACCTTTCTAGAACAGTACTGTGGACCAGACCCATTATGGCCACATGAGTAGGGCATCTCATCTTCTGAGATTTCATGGCAAAATCAAGGTCCTTCGGTTATTCCAGAGGACTGTCATGTCCACAGAAGGTGGAAAGGAAAGGGTTGGGAGAGGAATGAGAATTGCTTCTGGGGCAATTGCCTGTGCAAGCAGGCATGAAGAGAATCTAAAGGGGCAAGGAATCTAAAGGAAACTCAGATAAATGGGTAATATGGCAATCCAAACAGGCTGTGTGTCTATGTCATTTTTTGGTGGCAAAAGGCATCTAGAAGCTACAAACGTTGCCATCATTTCCATTCAGACTCCTATACCATGATGCCTTACCTAGCTGATGTAGGTGGAGTCCTTTCAGATCTTACTGTTGCTGGAGCTTATGGAAAGTTCAGAATGTTTGTGTTGAGGCTATGAGCCCAGGTATTAATTGGGAAAAGGTTGAGCAGGGTGGATAAAAATCAATGCTTTTTTAAAAATCAAATTGATTTAAATTTTTAAAAATTTAAATCATTAAAAAAATCCAGTTTTAAAAATTTAAATTGTGGTTTAAATCCATTTGATTTAAATCAAATCCATCCTGGTCTCAAGTACAAAGCCACCTTATACACAGCAATTGTTTTTTTTTTCTTCTCTAGTGCTCTTTGCTTTGAGATTTGTCTCCTCACCTGGAGAAGCACAAAAACTTCCAGAGACTCCAGCTGATGTACTAAGCCCTGAAAATTTATCTGTAAATTCTTGCTAAGATCCCATCTATATGCACATAAATATCTATGTATCTAGATATACTGTAGATACAAGTATAATAACCAGGTTTTATTATTTAAATTATTTTTAGCAGAGTTTTAAAGATATATATATTTAAAATAATCAGCCATACATAAAAACAAAAAACAATTCCTGAGATCAAGCATTACAGGTATAAATAGAAAAATGTAAAAATGGGTATGCTGACTGGAGTATGAGGGAAGATGCAATTGTACACCAGGTTACAGAAGGCTGCAGGAGATCACACACTACTCTTATTGCAAGCTTTGTACTGAACCCAGAGACTGGTATATGATTATTTTACATGCTATAGTTTGAGAGACAGAATTCTCACCCGGATCAACCAAAAACCCAGCTATGGGAATGTGCAATGGGCTCATTTCTTAAAGTTATGAATATTTATGCCTGCGGCAACCTAACACAAGCAGCAGTTACTTTCATGCCAAGGCAAAACCTTGTTCTGCCCAGTACCTATCAGCTCTCACTTCTAGAAAGTTCTGAACACATGTTCCTCAAGTAAGTGATCATGTTCAGCACATGTGTAAAAATACATCCACTAATTTCAAAACATCTCCTTTCTATCCAAGCAAATGTATACTTTTATGCAAACCAATATGTTTCAACATGTTAGTATGTGCAATTCTTCAGCAAATATTTAGATTACAAAGTGGGAAGCTGTATTTAAATTGCTCTCCTTTTTGTGCATTTAATTATTAGTGATTTAAAATCAATCCATTCTACTACGCTTTAATTCATCTAAAAGTGAGTACATACAGTCTTCTAGTTACTGCAAATAAATTGCATTCTATAGTAACAAAAGAGCAGCAACAAGGCTAGCAGGCTTCATTCTATCTTGTTCTAATCTCATGACTCTAACGTAAAACTGGAGGAGTACACAAGATTTTTCCACCTGTCAAGTCTTCACAGCTACCATATAAGAATATACAGAACAAAAGATTATGACCATCAGCTATGAGAATCATTATAATCAGACACATGTACAAGTTAGCCAAGAGCCTCTGAGTCATTATAAATCCTTAGCACCAAACATGTTGTCCACACAAGAATAAAATCTTCTAGGGACATAAGATCTTCGCTAAAAATCGAGAGAGAGAGAGAGAGAGAGAGAGAGAGAGAGATCTGCTAGACTCGATGCAGTTCAGTGCCATTTGCTCACATTAGCAACCAGTCTCACCGAATTATTGAGAACTTCTATGCTCAGAAACATTATATGCGAACAATGACAACATGTTCTCAGTCAGAGAACTCTGACAGCCAGGGAATAGCAAACAGGTGTCAGAGTCAAGCGTTTGGGTGCATAATATAGAAGGATCAGAGTTGGAAAGAAGGAAATGACATAACCAGAATCTTTCAATCCATTGCAGCTGAGCAAACCACCCATGCATAGCAGGCACGATTTTAAAAAAAGCCTCTAGATTATTAAGCATTCCACCCATTTCGATAACTTCACAGCTAGCACAACATATGCACACAGATACACAGATGATGAGGGCAGGATTCTGCTACAGAACTGTAAGCCTTATGCAGCAGTTACCTTTGCAGTGCATTTGCTCTGGGCACTCCTAAAGAAGGTGGTTTTGGCGGTGAAAAAGCAGTCCTCCAAGTCATCATCCAAGCTACAGTAGCCACTACTCATGCTGTTGTCGACAGTCATCTAAGAAGGAATCCCAGATCCTCAGAAGGAGGACAAGCGAAGACCACAGTTGAGCCAGAGAGACAGGTAAACCCCACCATCGGATTCACACCTCCCTGCAGCAGCAAAAGGAGCACTGTTTCCCAATTTATGTCCTAGGTAATTAGCTTCAAATACACCTCCAGCTCTCACTTGCTATGCTGTGCAACAGTTTCTTCTGATCAGCAAATGAAGTAACGTCTTGTTTAAAAAGCAGAAAGGGGGGGGGGAGGAGAAGAGCCTTGCCGGGGACAACCTCTCCTCTCCTTCAGCCAGCAGCCGACCTCTTTCTGGCTAACAGTTGCCAGAAGCGAAGAGGAGTGCCAGACTCCGAGGGATCTCTCTTTGCCACTCGGCTTGCAAATTCACTCACCACCATCTGTGGCTCGCTTCCCCTATCTGCAAGCCCACCGAGAGGCGAGAACCCCCCCCCCCTTCCTGCTTGCTTTCTTGTTGAGCAGAGTTGAGCCACTTCCTCTTGCAAGATTTCTCACACAGTTTTTGCAACGGGTTCTAGAAAAAAAGGGAGGGGGGGAATAAGTCTGCATCTCAGCTGATTTTGATTGGCACAACTTGGAGGGGGTGGGGGAGGGGGAAGAGACAGAAGAAGCAGAGTTACAACATCAGGGCAGGAGACAGCCTGTTCTCAGCTCCCCGGTTCCTTAACAACACATACGAAAGGTAGGGACAAAGATGGAAGAGTCTGATTCAAATTATGTTTCATTACCTAAAGCTTCATTGCTGTGCTCTCCCAGGTGAATATTATGTTACAACTGTAATGCTCTCCTTATCCTTTTAGAAGATATTCCAAAGCCATCCTTCTCTATTATATCTGTTTTATGTTTTTTGCTAAGGAATGAGAATAGTAACAGCTAGGGCAGGGGTGAAGAATGACTGGGCCTCCAAATATTGCCAGACTACAATTCCCATTATCCTTCAGGTCCAGTTGTATGAGCTAAGGCTGATGATATCTGCAGTCCACACATTCTCCATCCCTTAGCTAGGGACTATGAGATGCCAGAAGAAAATATGAAGAGACTTCAGTTTTGAAAGCAAAGTTGGACATCTGTATGAGATTCTAGACATTGACCTCCAGAATCCCCAAATGATACCTGTCATCATAGCACCTGAGCACCTCTATACATTCTCTATACATTCTATACACCTCTATACATTCTCCCAGTCCTAAAGCCAAAGGAATCAGTTTGGTGCACAGTGTAAAGAAAGGCAGAGATGGATAAATTCTCCTAGCAACACTTGCAGAAACTAGTCGGTGCCTCTGTGTTCTGCAGCTAATTTTAGAACAGCCAAGATGATTTCTCAGCATAGCTGGCACAAGGAGGTGGCAGTTTTGATTATAACCGTAGCAATCACCGTTCATCACGATGTCTTTGCCATGTGTCACCCAGTGATATTCTAGAGACACTTAGTTCTTTGAGGCCTTAGTCAGCCCAGAATCCTTCACTAACCCTTTGATTTCTCAATGCCTAGGCTGAAGACCTTTTCTGAGCTACCTTCTTCCAGGTTCTGAGCTGCAAGGTCACCTATCTTCAGTAATAATGACATGTGATTTAAAAGCAAAGATCTATAAGATTTTTTCCCTTCTGCCCTACTTTAAAAAATGCATTAGCCTTCCTTTGCACAAATGGTGTTTTAAAAACTGTCCACAATCACTCATCGCAAGTATGGACGTATTTCCTTTCACTACATCTTCTGAGGAAACCACAGAGCCCTATGAAATCAGGGTGCCTCAGCTGGCTGCTTTACACCCTCTGGTATATGATTTCTATGGTGAAAGGGAGCGGAGGGGAAACATCTACATTTAAGCCCGTTAAACTGTCCCAGTATTGCAAATAATATACCATTCCACCTTTCACCTTTAAAGCAGATTGGTTTTAAGGATAAGGTGCAACTAAAAACCTGCAATCTTATTTTCACAAGCAGCTTGCTAGTTTACAAAAACCTAACAATCCAGGCCAAGTCACAACGTTTTTTAGCTTATTCTATTACCATTTCTAAATTAATTCTTCTTCACTATCTGTGTCATTGGGCTGAGACAGAAAACACAAAATATTTTCAGGTACTCGTATCTTAACAATATTCTGGACATATTTGGGTCCAGTGAGAAAGTGAGTATAAAACATAAAACTGACATACAGCCGGATGAAAACCCAAGATACGATATTCGATTATCCCAGAAAAGGATCCATTCATGACAGCTCATCCAAAGTCCCAATTTTGTATGTGCTAGTAAAACAGTTACACTCCATTAAGAAAGGAATCAAAACACTAACTGGAACCATATCATGATGGTATATCATGATGGTATCATGATCAGTTTATAACAGGCAAAATGACCAGATTTGGAATATTGCATATAGTTATGAAATTTAAATGACTCAGGACCTGGCTATTTAGAGGTTCACATTTTCTGCACAAAACCTGTCCATCAGTTAAGTTCTTCACCGGCCTTCCTTTTCATTCCACTTAAATTAAACTACTAGTGAGAAATCCTTTCCAGCATTAATATCTTAATGATACCATCACCACCCTCTGTAGATACTGTATGGAGTTTTCTGACTGTGCCTCAAGTGTTGGGTGAAGTCTGTCTTGTTCTACCCATGGCATTAATGTTGGGGTAAGATGCATGTGGCCCACCAGATGCTGGACTACAACTCCCATAATCTCTAGGCAACACTCTCAATGGTGAGGCATAATAACATTTGAGGTTCACTGTCATGGGGGGGAGGCCTCACTTTCATTTGCCCCTCTTTAACATTTGTGACTAACTTCCTGTTTGTGATTCTTTGCCTTTCACTGACTAGATCTTTATCATATTGTTTTCCTATTGTATTCTAAGCTGGCATGAAGCTACAATGGATAAACTGGGGTACAACTCTTATAAACAGATAAAATACAGTTTGGGGTTCCTGCAGGAACACAGGAAATTCCATTATACTGAGTCAGCTGATCTAGCTCAGCACTGTCCATACTGGCTTGTACAGAGCTCCTCCCCAACCTCCTGTACAAATCAGGTGCCTGAGGAAGCACCACGCCCAACAAGGACACCTCTTTGAAGGTAGGAGCTTTATGTACAAACAATGCTTACCTTCAAACAGCCATTGGACAATCATCAGGGTATCCGTACACAATTCCAGAGGTGGGCAAGACTGGCCTGTGCAGTCTTCAAGACCCTCTCACACATTCATTCAACATGCAGATGGATTTCTGTAAACTCCCTTTGAGATTATTTCACCAGGAGATTAGACACTTTGGCTGAAATCCTGCTGCACAACATTTACGATGTAATTTGGATGATGTCATCAGCCACAGCTATTTCAGCACAGTGTAAAACGTGGTAGTCCTCCTCCACCCTCAGGCTCTCGGAATTCACTCCATGATGGAGAAGCCTCCATGAGCCACAGAATGGGGTAGAGGACTATTAAAAACCTGAAAATGTTTGCCACGAGTCTTAACCCTGCCACTGAGACTGGAAGCAGCAACGTTTGGACTATAAATAGTTCCCAACTCCATCCTGAAATCTGAAGATTTCTCCAGGAGAAAGAGGAGCCGGGGATGGGAGGAGGAGTGGAGAGTAGGAAGTTTTGAATTGTCCTGAAATGGCCATGGCTTATGATAATATCCAAGCTGTGTGGTGAAGATCTGCCAACAGGATTTCAGTCATAGATAGAGAACAGGTCTACCAAAGCCTATTTAGCTGTGATAATAAAGAGAAACCTCCACACAGCAATATTATTATTCTTTTGTTATCAGGGACAGGGGATAGTGCCACTATAGCAGTGGTCCCCAACCTTTGGCCTCCAGATGTTCTTGGACTTCAACTCCCAGAAATCCCGGCCAGCAGAGGTGGTGGTGAAGGCTTCTGGGAGTTGTAGTCCAAGAACATCTGGAGGCCCAAGGTTGGAGACCACTGCGCTATAGGGTTTCTGGCTTCATGTCCTGCTTGTGGGCTCTCTTGGAGCTTCAAAAAGTGGGAGTCTTTGTATTTGTTTTTTGGGGGAAGTAATTGTTGGCTGGGACATTCTGCAAGTAAGTCTTTTAAAAAGCAACTTTTCCAAGCTCTGGGCTTTCTTGAACCATCTAGCTAGCTACTGGACGAGATACTTGAGAAGATGAACTTTGAGCCATCTAGATTGTGGAGGTTGTTTTTTTTTTTCTTTTATTCTTTCATTTGTAGACAGCTGTCTACAGACCTGGGCTATATGTGAAACGAATATATACTATGCCTGAAAATATCAATGAAGCAAATATAAGGCACTTCTGGTTTTGATTCTGGCTTTTTAAAAAGAGGAAGCTTGCTTAAGAAAGAAAATTGAATATTAAATAAGTATATTGTTAGGGGCATTCCCTTTTTTCTCACTGTTGCAAGCAAATATTTTTATGTTTAACAATGATATGTATGATCATGTAGATAAGAATGGCACCATCTGTACAAGCTCATGCTTATCAACATTTTGTGACTTACATTATTTCTCCTTTGCAACCTAAAACCCAACACTCAAACATTTAAGCACCTAAAGATGTCCCAAATCCTTTTCTAGCTCAGCAGCTTAAGGGGGGAAAAGGAGTTTTGTTTACTATACAGACATCTTCTGCTAAGGGAATTTAATTGAACATTTGGAGAAACTTCTTAATAGGAAGAATAGTTCATCAACTCAACTGGCTTGTGCATCACAATACTTTTGGACTGGATATCCTGTACTGAGCAAAAAATTGGAGAAAACTAGCAAGGCCACCCCAAAATGTTTTCCAGACTGAGGCAAAACAACAATTCATACTCTCTCCATCCACAAAGATGCATCCTACCCAAAGATGGACAAGTTATTTTGGTGCGTAAGGCAGAAAGGTCCTTAAGCATTTCTCCTCCATGACAGTAAAGACAAGTTATTTTGGTGCGTAAGGCAGAAAAGTCCTTAAGCATTTCTAATACAACAATACCAAAGGAAATTACTAACAATCTGCTGTCCTTTTATGACATCATAATTTAGCTTGAAGGAGCTGCTTCACTCTAACTAATGACAGGGCTGGGCCTGGCCTGGCAGCCTACAAGTCCCAATCTAACAGTACAAGTTTAGAAATCTGTGTGCTCTTATTACTCATGCAGGTCCAACTTCTCCAAACAATAGGACAGGTTTCCCTCATTCAGCCATAGCCTTGTGATCACTTTTTATACATGATATACTGACAAGGCTCACCCAGTTTTAAATAAGAGTGGAAAGAACACTTGCTAAATTCCTTATTATCACCTATTTAAGTTGCCTCAGCTTTAAAAGATGGTTAAAACCCGCAAGATCCTCATCTATATATATATCCAAGAGCAAGACAAAAACTTATTTTCCACAATTCAGGGTCTCTGTCATTTGCATAAAATGTCTCTAATGTTTTTCCCATTAAGAAG